TGGACTATAAGGATAGAAAGCTGGCTAGATCATTGGGCTCAACGGGCAGTGATCAATAGCTCGATGTCTAATTGGCAGCTGGTATCAAGCAGAGTACCCCGGGGTCGGTCCTGGGGCTGGTTTTGTTCAACATCTTCGTTAATTATCTGGATGATAGGAGGGACTGCACCCTCAGCAAGTTCGCGGATGACACTAAGCTGGGGGGAGAGATAGATACACTGGAAGGTAGGGACAGGGTCCAGAATGACCTAGACAAATTGGAGGATTGGACCAAAAGAAATCTAATGAGCTTCAACAATGGCAAGTGCAGAGTCCTGCACTTACGACGGAAGAATCTCATGCACTGCTACAGGCTAGGGACCGACTGGCTAAGCAGCAGTTCTGCAGAAAAGGACCTGGGTATTGCAGTGGACGGGAAGCTGGATATGAGTCAACAGTGTGCCCTTGTTGCCAAGACTAATGGCATATTGGGCTGCATTGGTAGAAGCATTGCCAGCAGATTGAGGGAAGTGATTATTCCCCTCTATTTGGCATTGGTGAGGCCACATCTAGAGTATTGAGTCCAGTTTTGGGCCCCCCACTAGAGAAAGGATGTGGACAAAATGGAGACATTCCAGCGGAGGGCAATGAAAATGATTAGGGGGCTGGGGCACATGACTTATGGGGAGAGGCTGAGGGAACTGGGCTTATTTAGTCTGCAGAAGAGAAGAGTGAGGGGGGATTTGATAGCTGCTTTCAACTACCTGAAAGGGGCCCCCAAAGAGGATGGATCTAGACTGTTCTCAGTGGTAGCAGATGATAGAACAAGAAGCAATGGTCTCAAGTTGCAGTGGGAGAGGTCTAGGTTGGATATTAGGAAAAACTATTTCACTAGGAGGGTGGTGAAGCACTGGAATGAGTTACCTAGGGGGGTTGTGGAATCCCCATCCTTAGAGGTTTTTAAGGCCCAGCTTGACAAAGCCCTGGCTGGGACGATTTAGTTGGGGTTGGTCCTGCTTTAAGCAGGGGATTGGACTAGATGACTTCCTGATGTCTCTTCCAACTCTAATCTTCTATGATTCTATATGACTTTCTTAAGCAGTTGGTTTGAATGGAGTACTTCTGCTGCTGGTCTTCCACTTTATTTCTTTACATTCTCTTCCATGGTGCACTACATACTTATTAATTATGTGCATTATAGTAGCACCTAGAAGTCCCAGCTGAGATCATGATGCTATTGTTCTGGGTACTGTACAAACGTATAGTAAGAGACAAATCCTGCCCTGATGAGTTTACAATCTAGATGGATAAAAAGTGTGAGGGGTAAAACTTGAAAACTTCAGAGAGTGATGAAGTTACCTGCCAAGGTCACACAGCAATTTCATGATAGAGTCAAGAATAGAACCCATTTCTCCTGACTCTCAGCCCAGGCCTCTATCCATTAGACTATGATGCTTCTCTTCATAACACAGCTTTTCTGAGCACCCACATTCACTCCTCAAGCTGCTCATCTTCCATCAGAATCAAGAATACAGTTGATTTTTTCTTTTACACCTTCATTTGTCATTTAAGATTTACAAAATATCAAGAATCTTTGCATCTGCATCACTATATTGACCTTACTCAAGTTGATGGACTCTAAACTTGGCACAGATGTTATTACTATGAATGTAAGTTTGTATAGCGAGAGAATAATAGTAGTGCCGTATGCCTGCTATCTTTTATGAGCTTGCAGCGCATAATGAATGCCCATGCCTAATGCTTTGACCCAGGTAAATTCATGTTTATGAAAGCTATTAAGTTTACTAAACTTTATTACTGCATTTTTACTAAAATTATCTGCAACAACTGAAGTGTTGTAATTTTCACAGTTGATCTTCCCACACACACTTCTGTTTATGGTCTCTGGACAGAAACCTGGTGTCCCATACCCTCCAGATTCAGAGCTTTTAGGCCAGAAGCAATAAATTATCTAATCTGACCTCCTGTATAATACAGATCATAAAATTTCATCCAAGATTTTCTTTGTCTTTCTAAAATCATACAAAGCAGACATTTCTGAGACTTATCAGTGAATAACTAGATCCTAAGATCTAAATACACATATAAGACTTTTCACATGTATCAGACTCCAGTGGACAACTTGATCTATATTAACTTTCAAGAATATGGATTGGGGATTGTTCAGTACCTAAATTCTGTAGCAAATTTTATACTGCTCCATGACAAATATGTTACCATTTTAAAATTATAAACAAATCACAAAAAGCAGTAAAACAAATGTTGGGCTCTGATTGATCATTCCCCAATATTTCCCAGCACACAGAGGGCCTCTGCATGGAGAAAAAAAATCTGTTTGTACCTTAGATCTAGCCCCCATTTTCCCAGACTCTGAAGATAACTCTCCATGCAATCTATAATTCGCCTTTGGGAAAGGACCAGATCAGGTTCAGGATGGTATGAACTGGGTGGGGCCAGTAGGACTCACACATTATCTATGTCCCCAGAACACTCATCAAAAAAGGCAATGGGAATTTAATGGGTCTAATTCTGCAGTAATTGTTCTAAGGCCTCTTAATGATGGGAAAGTCTATCTGTAGTCAGAGAGACTTGTCCTCTTCAGCATTCTGCCAAAGTACTGAAGTCCAGAGCTGCAATAGCCTCTTCAGCCCTAGTGAAGGGAGAGTGAGAAATCAGGATCCACAGAAGACTACACATAGGAGTTCAGTTGAATGAGATCCCTGTCCCTTTAGCAGTTCCAGAGATCCCAATGGGAAAGAGTACGAAGTTGTGCTGTCATTTAGCCAGAGCCATATAGAGAGCAGAAGGCCTCAGAGCTAACAGAGAGACACAGAGCTTCTACACAAATGGCCTAGCTGATGGAGATTTCCCTAGCACCGATACTACCTGCTCTGCCACCTCCACTTTTGAAGGGAGAATTCAGGCAAAAATCCATAAGGGGTTCCTTTCAGGGTTTTCCCTCTCCTGCAGACCAATAGTTCTCAGGGAGTTTTAACTTATCTGGGAAGACACTGACTTTCCTTGCTGAAGAAGAAATATTTTTAATATGATAAACATAAGTGAAAGGCAGGAAGATCAGAAATACAAGAAGGAAAACCTGAGGACTTGAAATTCACATTAAACCCTCTAAGGATTAAATCATCTGGTGGAGATGGCCTACCCACTACAGCAAAAGGCCATGTACAGTACTGTAAATGTTACTGCTGTTAGTGCAGTATACCCACAAGTGTAATCAAGTGCATGGTCTGCTAGGATTCCCCATTGGCAGCCATGGGAAGAAATTAATACTCTAGTTGTCACTAACAGTGCCTCCACTTTCTGGCTTAGCATCTGAATATTAACTTACAAGCATAAAACAAAAACTCAATCAGGGAAGGTTTTGTGATTCCCTTTAGGCAGCTGAGAAGGTGAGGTGAGAGTAAACACTTGGTGGTATGGGACAGTAATTAAGTCCAGGCATAAGGTACTGAATAGCAATGTTCTCTAACGCTGCTCATAGCCAGCTCTCAATTAATAAAAAGGCATCTTAACTTTATCAAAGGCAGCCTGCCCCTGTCTAGTTAGTGTTTCTGCAGAATGAGGAGTATCAGCTGTTGCTATTATTGGCTTCTCTATTTGCAATCAATTTTATGGACCTGATGCTGATCTCATTTGCACAAGTGTAAATCAAGAGTAACCCCACTGAATTTGATAGACACATTGAAGTAAAACTGGTGAGAGATCAGCATCAGGCCCTTTGGAACTGATTCTCCACTGACTTTCACTTCATCTAGTCATTTAAATCTGTGCAAAGTGAGCATAAAATGCTACCAAATGAGACAGAACATGCCAGATCCTCAACTGGCATAAATTAGCATGGCTATGCCCATTTTCACCATCTGAACATGTGACTTTCAGACTAACTTTTTGAGAATTGATTTAGCTAATCTTTCCTCTTAGTTGGAAAATATTCCTGCCATACTCAAACACAGCTCAGGCTCTCAGAAACCATAACTGATCCCCTAGGGGCTAGGAAAACCATACGCAATAAGCATCTGGAAGATGGTTTCATTAGCAAATATTCAATGCCATTATGAAAAAATGATCCAAATTCTCTGCACGTGTAACTCCACTAAGGTCAATGGAGTTATCTCAGAAGAATATTTGCCCCAATATCTTTTCTCTTTTCCAAATCTTTTTACCTTCCTTTGCCTTTGAGACAGGGGATCCATAGAGATTATGTGCCTCCACTCTTGCCTCTAGCTTGCACCAAGGTTTTTATAGAAGTGGTATTGTAGGGGGCTTCCCAATGCCCCCAGAACATCGTGAGAGACTCCAAAGCACAGAGGTGGAAAACTACTAAATTAGTTGACTGAGTATCAGCTTTAACTCACATGGATTTTGGGTAGGGATCAGATAAAATGCCCTGGGCCACTTCATTCCACAGCATGGGGTCAGATCTCTTTCAAGCCCCCATACAAGACCTTCTGCTGGATCAGTGCAAAGGATGAATGGATGCAAGCTGGGGCATTACTGTGAAAGTAGCACTCAGTCTTTTTTCCATGCTGCACCTGTTAGCTCTGCCAATTTTCGCCCCTTCTGCCTATAGAAGTAGAAAGTTAAGGAAGGTGTGGCACCCAGGACTGTTGGGATGAGACTGCTCTTTTTATTGTTGGCATCTGGCCTGATATGGGTCAAGGTTTCAAAAGGTTGATATCCCTGTCACAGGGACACAGACTCAAATGGTTACCTTAACTGAAGGGACAACAGAGCTCTTTATTTCATTCTGTCCTAATTCAGGCAAAGCCCCCTTGACATCAGTGAACATTTTGTCTGGACGGATACTTCAGGATTAGAGTCGGAAACAGGCATTCTGGTCCTGATTCTTGCCAGAAGCCGAAAGGGCAGCAATTTGTTAAAATGAAAAATAATGGGAAGAAAAAGTTACCTAAATGTTTATGAACCTTGGTTTGGATTCACATTTTGGAAGGTAATTGTTCCATCAAATCTGGTTCACTTACCCTTACTGAGCACATTGCTTTGCTACTAGCACTTGGCGGGGCGAGGAAGGAGGGAGTGGGAAGAATGCTGCTTGTTGGAGCAGCCTGGAGAGTTGAAAATCTGGAAAACATCAATGAATCTGAAACACTGAAAAGTTAAAATTTCTGATTAATGAGTAGCATCCCACATCTTCCCCAGCATTTCAGTGCATATCTGTTGAGGCGCTTAACTAAACAGAAATTAAATTGTTGCTGTCATGAATCACTCTGAAAATCTTCACATACTTAAACACGATTGTCATGTGTTAAAAACATTGTAACCACATATCCTAATTTTCTTAACTCTACAACAAAACAAAACTTTCCTCATGGTAAATATGCTCTATTTTAATATTTCAGATCACTTTTCAGTACTGTAACAATGCCATTAGAATTTTCATTTGCGGCTCGAAAAGAAGTAATCACCCAACTACAGTTTCAGATTTCTCAGCCCTGTTCTCTCTCTATCAATGTAGGGTGAGTAATTAGAGCTTCCTGGGTGTGATCCTATTCCCTCAGGAAGCTAGTGAGAATAGGTTTAGTCCCTATGTCCATGGCATTTTATAAGGAGGCTGAACTTCTAGACAATGGATTTTATGTAACAGATAGTCAAAGAGATATTCTCAGTCCCATGGACAGCACTGGAACACAGAGTGATCTGTTATAAGAACACAGCATGGACAGAATATGTGTTGTCTGCTGATATACTATCAACGTTTTAATTTTTTTTTTATTTATTCTGTCGCTTATAAAGGCATAAGAGCAAACCTCCTCCTTTTCTCTGTGTGTTGCAAGGAATCAGGGTAAGGAATCAATCTGCTGGAGGCCTTTATAAGGCAGCTGCACTTATTCCCATGGTCAGAAAACCTCAGTGTTGTACACTAGAGCTTCTACTTTGTGTGGCAAATGAGGGAGTTATGTTTAGTGTTTTTGATAAACATCATATGCCCCTCAAGTTATGTGTTTGATATTAACCTGCCTGAATGCCAGGAATTAAATCAAAGGGGGCTGTAAAGAGGGAAATCCACAGGAAACAAAACAATGGCAAAGATAACAATGGGTGGAGCTGCCGACTGGTGAATACCCCCATCTAGCTGCATCCAGGCTTGAATGGTTTACTCTTCCCAAGGCTGAGTCAGGATTAGTTCAAAAGGGACCCCAAGAGATGTTAGAAAAGGAAAGAGGGGTTGAGTGGCTGGAGGCTAACCGAAGTGTGTCAGTGAAAGCTGACTGACTGACCGAGACATGGAGCTGCTGCAACAGGACTAGCTGCTTCTCTCTGCCAGAAATGGAGTTAGCTGGACTGAGGGGAACTTACCAAAGCTGTCAAGGAAAGGCTGAGGTGTAAGGAAGCACTATGCTTGCAGGCTTTTTATGGGTTTTGCTCTCTGTACCTTGTACTTGTGAGGAATGAATAAAGAATTGTTTTGAAGACACGGTCTGTGCCAGTGGTAACTTATACAGTCACAGGGTCCCAAAGGGAAACTATTAGAGGAACCAAAACCAAGTTGGACCCATGTCATTCATACAGTTGGAAATCAGGTGACTGAGCCCAGAAATCCAGTCTGAGAGTGGTTGGGCTGCTTGGTTCCACCCAGAGTGAGGTGCAGGAAGCGAGGGATGTTACCTTAGGATAGCTATGACACCTTGTTTTCAGAGTCTGCATGCGTCTCTTATTTTGTGGAATCCTTGAGATTAATAACTCAGGCAGTTTGGTTTTGTCTTGCTGGAGAAAGAGCAGTATAAGGGACCACAATTTTCAGTTATTTCCTTTTCAGAAACTTTGGGAATAAACTGAATTTTATTTTCACCAGTTTCAGATGCAGCATAATTTTATCTGTCATCTGTAATTTTTGCTAAAACACAGTAGAGCAGGCAAAAAAAAAACCCCAACAAAAGTGGTTTTATAAACAGAGGCCTCTTTTTAAAATAATAGTATTCATAACTAATGATAATAATAAGTGGCACTGGACTCAGGGTTGGGTTACTCTAGAACAGGGGTTGGCAACATTCGGCACGCGGCTTGCCAGGGTAAGCACCCCGGCGGGCCAGACCAGTTTTATTTACCTGCTGACGCGGCAGGTTCGGCCAATCGCGGCCCCCACTGGCCGCAGTTCGCCGTCCCGGGCAATGGAGGCGGCGAGAAGCCGCGGCCAGCACATCGCTCGCCCACGCCGCTTCTCACCGCCCCCATTGGCCCGGGACGGTGAACCGCGGCCAGTGTGGGCCGCGATCGGCCGAACCTGCCGCGTCAGCAGGTAAATAAAACTAGCCTGGCCCGCCAGGGTGCTTACCCTGGCGAGCCGTGTGCCAAACGTTGCTGACCCCTGCTCTAGAAAGTTAGGTTAATTTAGCTATGTTACTGGGGTATGTGAAAATTCACACCCTCAGAGATTTAGTTAAACTGACCTAACTCTCAGTGTAGACAGTTATAGGTTGATGGAAGAATTCTTCTGTTGACGTAGCTACTGCCTCTTGCAGAGGTGGATCTACTACAGCGATGGAAGGACCCCTTCGGTGGCTGTTGTAAGTGTCTACACTACAGCACCATAGCACCATCATTTCTAGAGTAAACATACTCTTAGGTGATTGCCACTACTCTTCTGCCTCCCTACATGATTATACTATCCTCCCAGCCACAGTTCTAAGAGAAGACTGTGGGCCAATGTCTCCCGTGCATTAGGGCAGCTCTTTCTGCACTGCTACACTGGTGTGAAGCTGTCCTAACACCACCTTATCAGCCACAGGAAGATAATCTCAGAGTAAGGGGATCTTTACTTAGGCTAGGTCTACACTACGGGGGGGGGGTCGACCTAAGATACGCAACTTCAGCTATGTGAATAGCGTAGCTGAAGTTGCGTATTTTAGGTTGACTTACCTGGCTGTGAGGACGGTGGCGAGTCGACCGCTGCCGCGCCGCCGTCGACTCCGCTTCCGCCTCTTGCTGGATTTCCGGAGTCAACGGCAGAGCGATCAGGGATCGATTTTATCGCGTCTTCACTAGATGCGATAAGTCAATCCCCAATAGATTGATTGCTACCCGCCGATCCGGCGGGTAGTGAAGACGTGCCCTTAGATTGTAAGCCCCGTGGGTCTTGGGCCATCATTTTGTTCAGTGTTTGTACAGTGCCTAGCACAATGGGGTCCTGGTCCATAACTAGTCCTCTTAGGCACTACGGTAATACAAATAATAAATAGGTGATGTAGAGCTGATGTAATGGTTCCTATTCTGCTCCCACTAGCAGTGGCTGGTGCAGGAGTTGTGGCCAGAAGAAAGAGGGAAGGACGGAGGTGTCCCTGTATTATAATGGTGCCTGATTACCATAAGGACCCCTGGGGGCCTTTTATATTTGATGCAATTTAGAGCAGTCAACAGGCTGCTTTAATTTGTGCTAAAGGACCAGACTAGTGCAGAGTTTCCTAGTGGCTCAAATGTCCCTTTGCACACAGGCACCCCCACGTGAACAATCCTTATCCAGAGCTTCGGCTCAGGGTCTGAACATCAACCAAGTTATTTTTTTTATTCAAACCTTCCCTTATTTAGAGTTTTCTAAGAGCAGCGCTATAGGTATATGCAGATGCTTCGACAAACTTTCTACATTATTTTAATCTCTGCATTGCATCTATCTACTCATTGTTTTCACCGAGGTCAAGATAGTGGCAGCTTTAATTGCAGTTACAAAGAATGTTCCTAAAATGGGAATAGAGTCCTAAACTCAACATTTTCTTCATTATTTTGCAACTTTGGGAGCTTGCCAACATTATTGCGAGATTTGGCATGCGTACACCTGGAAAGAATGAGAGACTCCAATATTTCATTTTGAGTTTGCAAGCTTCTCTTCCCCCGCAAAAAGAGGACAAGCAGGGGAGAACTTTTGGATTAGAATTATAGTCAAAGGGCAAGATTTCGATCATCCTGACACCAGTATAAATCTATGGCAACTCAACTGACTTCAGAGTGGCTACTCTGGATTTACAACTGTAGAAATGAGATCAGAACCTGACCCCTTATGGATGATGGCATATCTTATGGGAGGCTTTCTTTCATATGTTTTTAGGGGGTATTTTTTACCATTTTTCTCCACCCCACAACATTTCAGTTTATTACATGAGAGGTATATCACGCTCTTCTTTGAAGTGTAAACTATAAGGGCCGGACTGATATCCTTACTCACAATGAGTAGCACTTTACTGTCCAAGAAACCCCATTGAAATTAATGGGGCTATTTGAACAATGAGGTACTGCTCACTGTGAAGGGGGCGATATATGCTGGCTTTGAGAAAACAATTTGGTTTCAAATTCTTATGTAAACAACACCGGGTAGGAAGTGGAAGAGGTGAAAATTGTATCACATGAGGAATGTAACACTGTGGTGGTCGAAATAAAAATGTTGAGAATTGGCCGGGGTATAGGCATTGCTGTTGAGAGTGCTGGGCAAGACCAAGCTTCAAAGGACCTAAAATGGCTATTTCACCCCTAAATTGTTTAGGTCGATTTTTGTTCTCAGTTACACCGGTATAAGTATGGAGCAACTCACTTGAAATCAGCGGAGGTCCTGAGCATTCGCAATGGCGTAACTGAGAGCGGAATGTGGCCTTATGCTTCTATGAACCAGCAGAGATAGCAACATGCAGAGGTAAGGACTGGCAGCTGCTACCTGACTACTATACCAGCAGAACAGCACCAGAATCAGCATCAAAACAGCTGGGAAGGAACCCGATGGGTAATGAAAGGGGCACAATAAGCTCCTAAACAAATGTTTTAATTGAAGCTATTTTTTTTTAAAACATCTCTGACAAAAAGTTTAATTATTTGCTATTTTAGCAAAAATGTAAATGTTGCTATTTTCACTGACTATTTTGGGGGGGAGGGGGGAGGCAGTTGTAAAAAAACACACTTGGGCTGGTACTAATCATCAATATTTATAGCAGTTTATAGCAGCATGTCAACCTATTACGTGGAGCAGCTCACAGACAGCAAGGTTTTGTTTTTAGGGTTGGGGGGGGGGTTGCTGGCATCACAAGGCTGGTGGGGTTTTTCCAGCTAGTATCGAATGGGTCCATGCAGGCTGAACACCACGTAGCTCCAGATGGGAAAGCAGTTCTCTT